AGCAGTTTGTTGTCTGTGGTGATCTCATGGAAGTGGGCCCCCTTCTCATTGGCGAAGAATAGGTCAGGTTTCCAGATGGAATCCAACATGGATGGGTCCAGGTCCAGAGAGTCATCAGGGTATTCATTATAGGCCAGACGGGGGTCATTCCACTGCTGCCTCAGGAAGATGTTGACCCTATAGTCCTACAGCCAGGGGACAATGCAGCATTAGACATTATGCCAGCTCTTGGAGAACCCAGGTGCTTTTGGCCAGTGATCTTTTAAACTTTTTCTGGAAGATGTTATTGGAATTTACTTGCATCTTGTGTAGGGGTGAAACGTAAAGTCTGTGCATCAGATGAAATCCATGGGAGTCATAATTCCCCCTGAAAATCCTCTAAATGCCTCATTAAGTATATCCAACCCTAAACTGAGATTATTTAAATGTTATTTTTTGAAAAAAATTTAAAATAAAATAAAATTTGAAGACTGACGTACTAAACACCTGTTTAATAATCTTATTAATATTTTATCATGTGTGCTGCATTCTTTTAGGTAAGAAAAACAGTACATTACAGATAAAGTTGAAATCCCCCCTTCACCGTCAATCCCAATAGTACAGAAATTCTTAGGCACAGTAAGGTTGGAGAGTCACTGGTCTAGACAGACTGAAGGAATGAAAGAAAGGACAGAAAGCTGATGTCTGAGCATTCAAATTCTTTAACCTAAAAAGCAATTGATTCCTAAGCAATGAAGGAAGGATAGGTGAAAGAATTCTATAGTGTTCCAGGTGGTCCTAGGGTACATACAACTCTCTTTTAAAATTAGCCTTCTCTAACTTACTATGATGTGTTGATTTGTTTGGAAAGGTTTAATAGATGTCATTAAACAGGGGTCCACTTGTTACTGGTTTCTCTCTCTCTCTTTTTTTTTGCTGGGGCTGGGTTTGAAACTGCCACCTCCCGCATATGGGGCCAGTGCCCTACTTCTTTGAGCCACAGGCGCTGCCCATGTTATTGGCTTCTAAACTTACTTCTAAGTTAATATTTCTCTGATAGAATTACAGTGCATTAATCCACTGGGGTAAGGGGGGACAATTCACAGGTCAAATCAATTAGGGAAATGTTAGAGATGAAAGGCAGCAGGTTTTTAAATTGCAAGACTTCTCAGAGACCTTAATATGCTAATGAATGTGCATCTCCAATAAGGAAATAGAATATGCAACATTTGCCTCATTTATTTTGGCTATAGAACTCTTATTTTGTGCATGTTGTTCGTTTTCTACATAATATAGGTTAGGAATTGCTGTCCTAGTCAAATTCCATCCCCATCCCCCATTTCTTCCCCCAGATATCCAGATGAAGAAACTGAAATGCAGGAAGAATTGAGACTGGCCCGGAGTGACTAAAAATGCAGGGGCAAGGCTAATTCTGGAATCCAAGTGTTCTGACTCCTAGCTGAGGGTTTGTTCAACTTCCCCTGCTGATCCTGGAGGAGCTGAAAGAGTCCTTTTATCATAGTTTTCATTCACAACGTGAGAAGCAATTATGGTCTGGGTAAGTCTCCATGGGAGAAAACTGGGTAAGGCAATTAAGAAATATTTCCATTAAGAAAAGCTTCTTATTTTGTTAGCAAGGCATTATAAACCTGGGGTCCATTAATATGACAACACCGTAAGTAGAATTTGTGTTTCCGAAGGAGGAGGGCATAGCTCTCTGTTGGATTTCCATAAAGGTTTTTAATTCGTCGAAAGACTAATAACTTCAGCTTAAGGCCAACTTTAAATGCTTTCTTTTAAGGAATAATTTCTGTACCTGAAGGCCTGCTCCTGGAAAAATGAGGTCATGCTGGATTTTATTTTAGGGTGCTGCTTCTAAATTCTCATCAGTATTGATCTGTCATCTGATGGGATGAACTAGAACAAACAACCTTCCTCCCCACTTTCACCCTTACCCCTGCCCAAATCCTCCTCCAGCACATGCCTCATTCTGTTTGCCTACAAAAATATCAATAGCTTTATAAAATTTTCCAAGGTATTTTATATGATTGTTCTATAGTTTAATTGCAGCGTCTTCTTCCAGCCCCATAGAAAGTGACATTTGGTCTCATAAACTCTTATCTGTGGTGGAGGGAGACTTCACCAGGCCAGGCCTGGATGTTGGATCTTTGTCCTGCCAATCGTAATGGGGAACTCCAAATCCGGCCCCATCTGATTATGGGTTTGGAAAGAGCCTTCTTTCGCCCTTGGATTTTATGTGAACTATATATATGTGTGTGTGTGTGTGTGTGTGTGTTTGTGTATGTGTTATGATGAGACACTGGGCAGGTCACATCAGAGTGAACAGACTATGAATGGTTGGGCAGAAAAAGCCTTTGGTCCCCAGGCCACAGCTGCACTTTTGATGTTCTTGTCAGTGACATGTCAAATCCACTTATATGACTGGAAGGAAGAAAAGAATGTGGCATTTCTTAAAATGGTCTGTTAGGCAGCAGGCACCATTCTAGATACTGTCATAGACATTTAATCCTTGTCCTCTGCAAGCTGGACATTTACACTCCTATAGTAAGGGTAAGGAAAGAGGTTTGAAATGGTTGAGAAATGTGTCTAGGGCACAGGGCTAGTGAGTGGCAGAGGTGGGTTTGAAATCAAGCATCAGCCTAAGCGTTTATTCAGCATATAGGCTTAATAGACTCAATAACTTGTGAGTCATATCACATGAGTTGGTGTTTCTGGCCAATTCTGTGCCAAGGGACATTCTCTTTCAACCTTGTTGCCTAAGGCAAATTCTGCCTGCTCAGCTCATGCCTGATCTCCTGCAGGGGCCTTAATGCTATCAGACTTCCCTGACTTTTTCTTTCTGATCTCTTCATAAGACCAAATCAGCAGAAACATTTAATTGCCTTCATTCCAGGGATGCAAGGATGGTTCAACATATGCAAATCTATAAATGTGATTCACCATATAAGCAGAATCAAACACAAAGACTATATGATATCTCAATAGACACAGAAAAAGCATTTGACAAAATTCAGCACCCTTTCCTGATAAGAACTCTTAATACAATAGGCATAGGTGGAACATACCTCCAAATTATAAAAGCCATATATGACAAATCCACAACCAATATTATACTGAATAGAGAAAAATTGAAAGCATTCCCGCTTAGATCTGGAAATAGACAAGGTTGCCCTCTGTTACCACTTTTATTCGAAATAGTGATGGAAGTCCTAGCCAGAGCAATCAGACAAGAGAAGGAAATCAAATGTATCCAAACAGGGACAGAAGAGATCAAACTATCACTCCTTGATGACAATATGATCTTATATCTAAAAACTCCAGAGATTCTGCCAGAGACTCCAGGAATTGATAAATAAATTCAATCTCAGAGTATCAGGATATGTAATCAATATACACAAATCAATAGCATTCTTATTAATAAGATTAGACTTAAAAATAATTGAAATGGCATATTTTGTTATATTTTTTATTATAATAAACATTTTTCAAAGATGAAGATGGTTAAGCTTTACTCCCCCTTCCTTTCTTCTGAAGTAACTGTTATGAACAGGGACAAAATATGAACTTTTCATTGATCTTAGTACTTCTTTAAAGAATTTATTTTGTTACTTGTTTCCATGTGGTATATGGTTGAGTTTTCCCCTAATGTACATATTCACACAACAAAAGGTTTGGCAAACTTGTTCAATGGCTTCAGAAATATTAGTTGGCAAGTCAGACAAACCACATTTTAGTCATTGTAAAAAAAAATAGCATTTTTATACATCAAAAACAGTCAAGCTGAGAATCTAGTCAAAGGCTCAATGCTTTTTTATAATAGCAACAAAGAAAATAAAATACATATGAATATATTTAACCAGGGAGGTAAAACACCTCTACAGGGAGAACTAAAAAACAGAGGAAGGAAATTGCAGTGGATGCAGAAGATATAACCAAATGGAAAAATATATCATGCTCATGAATTGGCAGAATCAACACTG